AGGACGAGCTGTGTCGGCCGCACGGCGCCCTTGTTGCCATGGCGCCCTGTGCGGCCGCACTGCTCGCACACCCCTAAGGCCGGCCCTGTTTATTATTACCCAATTATTTTGGTAAAATATAAAAGATGGGGTGACGTCGGGTAAATAGACACCAAACGTGTCATGCTTAAAAATTGCGCGCACCCGCGAAATCGCAAAAAACTACCATACTCAAAATTGACCATAGGCAACGCTTTAAAAGCTTTTACCGTTCATCAGTTTAGTGTTATCAGTGATCGATGGCCCTAGAATTATTGCTTTCACTGCGATGTTCGTGGCGATATGTAACATGTACGGCGTAATGGCCGCAATCGTCGTTTTCGCAGGCATGCGCCCCTGGCGTGTATAGGTGGGAACTTTAAAAAAAAAAAATTTTAATTCTTTTTTATGTGTAACTTAACATTTTTGGAGGAAACTTTAATTTTTTTCACTTTTTTTTCACTTAACTTTATTGCTATCAGTGGGCTAAGAAACCCCCTTATGTGATAGCAAAAGAAGTAACAGATCCTCTTTAAGGAGACATCAGGGGTCTCCAAGACCCCTAATGTCACCTAGGACCCCCATGAAGAAGCTGATGAAGCAGAGATCTGCTTCATCAGCTTCTCTCCAGCGTCTGAAGCCGGAGAGTGACACGAGAATGCGGAAGTGATGTAATATACATCACTTCTGCATTCCGACACCGGAGAGGGGACCGGAGGGAGTTCGTGTACCGACCTCCCTCTGATCAAGTGTCAGAGAAGCACTATGCTGGTCCCGGGACCAGTGTGACAACGGGAGGGGGGCCGCGGAGGGAGGGGGGCACGTGCCGGCAGCATATGCAAGCGATCCGCCGGCTCTATAGCCGGTGGATTGCTTGTATGTTAATGTGCATCGCTGCCTGTTTTTAAATTGACGCCGTTTCCTGCTCGCGCGCGCCACACGGCCTGTTACATCCAGGAAAATCCCGGCCGGCCGTATATGTATATATACGGCCGGCTGGGAAGCAGGTAAACATACGCAGGTTTTTTTTATCACTTCCTGTTTCCTAAATGGGGAGGTAGGCCTATTAAAATCAAATGATAGTAGTTGTTTTAAGATAAAAACTGCTGTGAAAAAGTAGAGAGCTCATCACACGAGCCTGAAATAACATTTCTGTTGGAGCTAGGCACACAATGTACCATAGAGGTGTCCCAAGTTTTGTAACAGTTACACACACCCCTCCCAATTTTCTGAGATGAGAAAGAGGGACACTTGTTATCCATTAAGAATTCAGACAGGAGGAAAAAGCGACAGAGGGATTTGGTTCCAAGTGAGGGACAGTTGGGAGCTATGGTTGCAAAAATGAGTTTACTGTACACAATTTCACAGGTGCTAAATAAATGAAATGCTATTTAAACAAAAATATTTGTGTTTTTATTAATGGACTATGAATTTTTCTTATGATAGATTGGTCTTGCTCTAAATCCTAGCCCTTTGGTAGATGGTGTATGTTACAAATATTATTTGCATAGTCATCATTAGTTCTCTGTGTGGTCCCTGTTTGACGCGTGTCCAGGCCCGGATTTCCCACAAGGCCACCGTGGCCTGGCCTCGGGGCGGCAGCGGTGACCTTGTGGGGAAGTTGCGGGCGCCGGTGTAAGGTGTCTGGCGGCCGCATACTACGGTCCGCCGCCGTTCATTC